CAGTCGGCGGTTTCTAGGTTTGGACATTTAACCTTTAATCAGCCGGCCCCAAAGTAAATGTTTACGATGACTTAAGGCCCCGGGCCCAAGGCCAGCGCGCAGCCAGAGTGGAGGCCGCTCTGGAAGCCTCCCAGAGGGAGAAGGCAGGGCTCATACGCGATCTTGGTGAATGCATAAAAAATGCACGTGCGCATACTTGCACGCATAAATGAATGAATGAATGAGTGCACGAAAGAGAGAATAAATGAGTGTTTCAGATCTCAGCTGTTGAATGCATAGCGAGCGAGTGACTGGCTGTACGCATGCCGTGAGTGCATGCATGCGTGAGTGCATGTATGCGTGAGTGCATGTATGCGTGAGTACATGTGAGGCGTGAATGAACAAACAACTACTCATGAATGAGTGAGCCAGGAAATGGATGAACCAGTGAATCAATGTTTGTGCCAAGGAGGGAATGAATGCATTCACACGTGAATGCACGAGTTGAAGGCATGAATGAGCCAATGCATGTATGAATGAATTTAGAGATATATGCATGAATGGAGGTGTGACTGTGTGGAAAAACCAGGTGAATGCATGCATGCATGAATGAAGGCATGAATCTATGAATGAGTGAATGAATGAGTTGAATGCATGAATGATTGAGTGAACAAGTGAATTCATGCATGCATAGTGCATGAATGAGTGGAAGGTGAATTCATGCCTGCATGAGTGAGTGCATGAATGAGTGAACAAGTGAATTCATACGTGATTGAGCGCATGAATGACTTAAGAAGTGAATTCATGCATGTATAAGTGCATGTATGAGTGAGTAAACAAGTGAATTCGTGTATGCATGAGTGCATGAATGAGTGAGCAGGTGAGCTCATGCCTGCATGAGTGAGTGAGTGAATTCATGCATGCAGGATTGAATGAGCACATGAAGGCATGCATTTATACAGGAATGAATGTGTGTGTGTGAGTGAATGAACAGAATACATGACAAGTGTGAATATGTGGATGAATGAATGAGTGAATAAATATGTATGAGTACACGAATGAGCTGAACAAACTAGCATGTGTGTTAATGCACGCACATGAGTGAAGATTGCAAACACTTCATGAATTAATGTATTATGTATGAGTGAACGAATGAATTGAATGCATGGACAAGTTAAGAGATGAATGAATGAGTAAGTGAAAGTGTGCATGCATGTATGAGTGAATTCAGTGAATGAATCAATGAATGTGTGAATGCATGCATGTATGAATACATGAGTTGAATGAGGGATGATTGTGTGAGTGCATGCATGTATGAGTGCATGAGTTGAATGAATAAGTGTGTGAATGCATGCATGTATGAGTTGAATGAGTGAATGAATGCGTGAATGCATGCATGTATGAGTGCATGAGTTGAATGAGTGAACTTACTTGGAGAAGAAAAGCCTTCACGTGACCATCAGAAAGCGACGGCAAAGGAACCCAGATTCTTGCCGAAACTGTCAATGGCGATCAATGCAAGCTACAGTCAGGACTTCCTGATCTAGATTAATACCTAGGATGATCGATGGTCTGTGGATACCAGGCACTGTGCTGAGGGCTGTTCCTGCATCAGCTCAGCCTTGGGGACAGGTATCGGTGGTGTTTTTAGCTCTACTTCATAGATGGACCCAGAGCTGTAAACAAACAGTGGAGGCTGTCTCTGACCTCCAGCAGGCTGCATGCAAGGATTTTCCTCGCGGCTACTGGGGCTTTGTGAGATATCTGCAGGCATAGGAAGCATCAAGAGGGCACCTTTATTTATTTTTTATGTTATTACAACATTTTTTTCTGCATTCGTTTGTATTAAACAGGTTTACATATCAAATTTTACTGATTTATTTTATTTGTGTAAATTTATGGGGTAAAGTGCAATTTTGTTACATAGATATACTGAGTTGTGGTGAAGTCTGGGTTTCCAGGGTAAGCATAACCTGAATAGTGTACATGGTACCTATTAAGTAATTTCTCATTCTCCACCATCCTCCCACTCTCTCACCCTTCTGTATCTCCAACGTCTATTAATCCACTCGCTATGTCCATGTGGACATATTATTTAGCTTCCACTTAGAGTGAGAACATGTGGTAATTGACGTTCTTTTTCTCAGTATGATAATGACTTAAGATAATGGCCTCCAGTTTCATCCATGTTGCTGCAAAAGATAGAATTTCATTCTTTTGCATGGCTGAATACGGTTCCATTGTACACATAAATCACATTTTCTGTATCCAATCACCTGTTGATGAGCACCTGGGTTGACTCCATATCTTTGCTATTGTGAATGGTGTGTCTTTTTGACATAATGATTTGTTTTCCTTTGGGTGAATACCCAGTAGTGGAACTGTTAGATCAACTGGTAGATAAAATTTTAGTTCTTTGAGAAATCTCTGTACCATTTTCCATAGGGGGTCCACTTTTAAATCTGTCCAGCCTCTGAGTCATTGGGGAAATCCTTAGGAGCTGAGAAGTGCCCCGGCGGAGCCCCCTTTGCCAGTACGACCTCAGTTTTCTATCCTCTGGATGCCAGCCCCGAAGAAGAGAAATGCCAGAATGAAGCTGGCTCCTCCAAGGAAGTCTCAGTTCTTGTGCAAGGAAGGGGAGACTTTCCCAGCTTCTATGCTTTCTCCTTGTTGGCTCCAATAGTTGCCAGATGTCTGCACAGCCTCGTGCTGCCAACTCGTTCCATGGGGCCTGTGTTGGCTTCTCATTGCTCCAGCAGGGAAACCGTGGAGTGCTGTGATCTTGCTCTGGGTAAGGGAGGATCCTCCTACCGGAAAGGGTCTTAGGAGTGTTCTAATGAGAGGTGCATTTACAAATGACTCAGACAGCTCCTGCCTCCTGGACTGTTCAGAATGATGTGATTGTCAACCTGATCCCTTTCCCAAGGTTGGATGGAAGTTACTCCTGGAGTTTTTCACCAAGGCGTTTGTGGCATTCAGGGCGGGATTCTCGGTGGTGGGCCCGTCCTGTGCACTGTGGGGTATTGAGCAGTGTCCCTGGGCTCCATCTGCCAGATGCCATTAGCACACTTTCCAGTAATGACAATTAAAACTGACCTCAAACATTGCACAGTGTCCCCTGGTGGGGGCAGGGGCAGAATCAGTCTGCGACTGTGAGTCACTGTTTAGATAAATGATAAATAAATAGATAGATAATGGATAGATAAATAGATCAGTAGACACATGATAGATGATACATAGGTAGATGATAGATGAGATAGGATGGATGGACAGATAGATGATAGATAGGATGGAGAAATAGGTGATAAATAGATGATAGATATACAGATACATAGACACATAGATGGAGATAGATGATAGATAGATAAGAGATTGATGATGATGATGATGAAGATAGATACATAGATAGGAAGACAGATATTAGATAAATGACGGATAATAGATAAATAATGATGATAGATGGATGATGGATGGCTAGATGTATAGACAGGTAATAGAGAAATGATACATAGGTAATAGATAAATGATGATGATAGATGAATGGGTGGATAGATGGATACATAGATAGACAATAGATAGAGTCTTTCTCAGCTTTATCACTATTAATATTTAAGTTGAATGACTGTCTGTTGGGGGCGTCCTGTGCCCTGCAGGGTGTTGAGCAGCGTCCCTGGGCCCCACCCACCAAGTGTCAGGCGCACTGCGCTTCTCTCTGGAACAGCGGTCTCCAAAATAGAATCTCAGGCTGCGTTTGGCTGAGAACCCTCACCCCATCTTTTGATTTTGAATTCGGGGTGAGATGTGCAGGCTCAGTCCTGGTCCGGCAGCATCAGCATCACCTGGGAAACTGTGTCATGCACATTCTTAGGCATCTGAACTCTGAAATCAGAACCCTGCATCCCAGGGCTTCCCCCGACCCAGCTATGTGAACCAGGCCTCCAGGAGTTCCCAACGCACAGCCAGGCTTGAGACGCACAGCCAGGCTTGAGACGCACTGCTTGCATTTCCGAGATTTGAGGGCGCTGGGGAGGGTAGCTGGAGCCAGGAGGGCTGGAGAGGGGGGAGCATGGATTTGGTAGAGATAGAAAAGGGCTGAAACAGCCAGAGAGAAAAAGACATTGGCGCAACTGCAGGGATGTTTAAACAACATGTTTGGGGCATGCAGGAGGCCTCTGTCTCCCAACACAAACAAGCGTAGGTGTTGCACCATTCTCTGTCCCATAAATCACCCCACCCTCGTCACCCGCCTGTTTCTCCCGTTCCACTGAGAACTGGTGCTCTGAAAGCAGAGTATAAGGCACTAAGTCACAAGGCAACGCTCTTGATCCCCGGGCAAAAGGGTAGCTCCGTTTTTAAACCCGGAGGAGGCGTCTTCCCCTGGGGGTTGCCGGGCTTCTGTTCCTGTGTGTGTTGGTCTCCAGGAAGCCACGGAGAGCTTGGCAGCAGGTGAGTTTTGTCGTGGGTGCATTCGGAGTAAACCTTTCTCTCCTCCCTGTTGCTGGGAACAGGTGTGTGCCAGTTTTCCTAGGGAGGCATTAGAAGAAAACGTCAAGACATTTATACGCCCAGGACAATTTTATTGGAGAGTTAGTTACAAGACCTTCTTAAAGTTACATGCGTGCTGGGAAAGGAAGGATTGAAACCCAGCAGGCAGCTGGGCATGGTGGCTCATGCCTGCCATCCCAGCACTTTGGGAGGTAAAGGCAGGAGGATTACGTGAGCTCAGGAGTTCAAGAACAGCCTGGCCAATACAGTGAGATCCCTCCAACTTTACAAAAAATTAAAAAAAAAATTAGCCGAGAGTGTTGGTACACGCCTGTAGTCCCAGCTACTCAGAAGACTAAGATGGGAGGATTGCTTGAGCCTGTGAGTTCAAGGCTGCAGTAAGCCATGATCGGCACTCCTGCCTGGGTGACAGAGCAAGACTCTGTCTCAAACAACAACAACAAAAATCAAACTCAGAAGGAACAAAACAGATGTTTGTGCCAAGCTATTTGATTGCACAACATGATTGTAACAAAGTTTCTAAGAACTGAAGACAAGTACAGAATGAGAGAACACATTTGCGATACACAGAACATGCATCTACATGTATGTGTGTGGGTCACAATTGCAATTACATCTCAATATTTTATATTTTGGTAAAGATTAACATAATAATATATAATATATAAAGAACTACATTGGCAAACAACTTGACACAAAATAAGCAAATGATTGGCAGCACGTGCTACTGGCTTCCCAGTCAACCATCATTTTTCCTTATTGTTGGCAGAGCCTGTGTTTTTTCCCAGGGTTCCTTCATGCTTTCTTATGCTTTTTTATTTTTCTTTTCTTTTTTTATTTATTTATTTTTTTTTTTTTTTTGAGAAGGAGTCTCACTCTGCCACTTCACACATGGGTCATTTGTAGAATATTGGTTCCTTGAGTAATGGAGCTCTTCCGGATGTTTTATTTCGTAATATGTATATATATATTTTTTAAAAGACACATTTGTTAATATCCTTATCCATCTCATCCGAAAAGTCTTTAGCTAGAATACCAAAAGAAAATATCTCCTCTTTAATATTATTAAAGTTGTGGCCTGAACGAGGGCTTCACTCATTCATTTTCCCGTGTGTTTAATAAGTCTTTAGGGCCAGGCGTGGTGGCTCAAGTCTGTAATCCCAGCAATTTGGGAGGCCAAGGTGGGAAAATCACTAGAGCCTAGGAGTTCGAAACCAGCCTGGGAAGCACAGTGAGACCCCATCTCTACAAAAACAACAAATAAATTAGCCAGGGATGGTAGGACATGCCTGTCATCCCAGCCACTCAGAAAGCTAAGGTGACAAGATCTTTGGAGCCCAGGAGTTTGAGGCTGCAGTGAACCATGATCATACCGCAGCACTCCAGCCTGGACAACAGAGCAAGACATTGTCTCAATGAATAAATAAATAAGTCTGTAATGAGCATCTACTACATGCCAGTCATGTTTCTGGAAACTGGGGACAAATCCATGCCTTTGTAGCAGTTGCATTCTAGCGGGTGATGGAGCCAGGAGAGAAACAATAAAAGGTGATACTTTATCATATGTTGGAAGTTGATAAGAGATAGAGAGAAAAGATTAAAACAGAGGATGTGGGTGAGGAAGTGCTCATAGTGGGTGGGGACCTGCGATTGAAAAGGCCCCACCTCCCTGCAGCCTCCCTTTCGTCTACAGCCAATGGTGGACAGTGTGAGATTTTGCCCCCAGCCTTCCCACCAGCTCTGCTATGGGATCAAACGTTCTATGCTTGTTAGGTCCAAGCACTGTTTTCACTTTTGGTTGGGGAAAAATTGGCAGCTTCTCTTTCCATATGTCATGTCTACATCCCAGCTATTCATAAACAAGCAGTCACGTTTCATGAATACCTGTTTAGCAAGGGGCAGATGAACAGGACGGGGGGCGGGGAGGAGACAGCTGTGAAGCAAAAACATGACAACGGCTGGCAGGAACCCAGGGAATGCATTGCATTTATATGTGGAACTGTGAGGGAAGATGCAGCTTAGATGGAGGCCATTCCAAGTCACCCAAGTGCTTCAATGTGTGGAACCAGAATAGCACGTGGTGTGAAACTGTCTCGTGGGCTGAGATGGGCAAGCTAGTTCCGTTCTCTGACAAGTCTGGTCTTCTGGACTCGGCCCCTGGAAAGCTGCCTTTCTTCCTCATTACCCCAGCTCCTCTCCCCTTACCATGGGACCTCGTGAGCCTTTCTTCAACAGACACAGGCTCCTCTCTGCAGCTTTGTATGAAGTTCAGAACTGGGCTCAGATCAAAGTTGTGGCGGAAGCCTTTATAATTCTGAAGGAAGCAGAAAAGGCATTGAATGACACCCCCAAGACTAACTTTTATGTTAAATGAAAAAAACGTTTAGCCAGTGGTAACATTTTTTTGAATGTACAATTCAGAAATGTCCACTGGGTGTCGCATGGCCCTGCTGGGAAACTACATGCTACAAGATAGTGATGCTTACACACTTGTCACCGTGATAAGCTAACTTTATAGCTATGCTCAAACTGACCGTCGCTGAACTAATGACTAAGCACTATTTGAGAGACTCTCTTTACACACCTCTCAAATTCTGCAGTTACTGTTTTGACTTTTAAGTACCAGTCCCTGACGGGCACATGGTAGGGGTTATAATACACTAGACCTCCCCAGTCATCCCTGGAACTCTAATTCTATCTTTATAAACAACTCATTATCACTGACATCCTTTTTTTTGACAGGGTCTTGCTCTGTCACCTGGGCTTCAGTGCAATGGTGCAATCAGAGCTCACTACTGCTTCAACATCCCAGGCTCAAGCGATTCTCCTGCCTCAGCCTCCCCAGTAGCTAGGACCACAGGCATGTACTACTATGCCCAGCTAATGTTTAAATTTTTTGTAGAGACAGAGTCTCCATGTATCACCAAGCTTGTATCACTCTGTCGCCCAGACTGGAGTGCAGTGGTGTGATCTCCACTTACTGAAGACTCAACCTCCCGGGTTCAAGTGATTCTTGTGCCCCAGCCTCCCTAGTAGCTGGAATTACAGGCGTGCACCACCATGTCCAGTTAATTCTTTGTATTTTTGGTACAGACGGGGTTTCACCATGCTGGCCAGGCTGGTCTCAAACTCCTGACCTCAGGTGATCCACCCGCCTTGGTCTCCCAAAGTGCTGGGATTACAGGCATGAGCCACCGCGCCCAGCCTTCACACATTGAGTCTTATATCCTCAACACATCTTGGAGAGGAAGATCTTCTTAGGACACCTCCCTTTTTTCCCCTGACATGGGATAACCATGGCCCAGAGAGGTGGTATAACTTGCCTAAGTTTGCACAGCTTGAAATGGAGAAGCCAGGATGTGAATCTATAAATTGAGTGTCAGAGTCTGGAATTTAACCCTGACTAATCTTGCATACTACCTCTATAGGCAAGCTAAATGAATTCCCCATCTCTTTTTTTTTTTTAAATTAGGGGGAAAAAAACATGTACACAGCATGTGTTAATGTATGTATTCATTCCATGGGGCGGCTATAGCAACGTATTGCAGACTGATTGGCCTAAACAATGGACATTTGTTTCTTCGTGCACAGTTCTAGGGGCCAGAAGTCCAAAACCAGGGTGTCTGCAGGGCTATGCTCCCTCTGAAATCTCTAGGGAAGGATCTGTTCCAGGGTCCTCTCCTTGCTTTGGGTAGTTCTCTGGCTTGTGGTAACATCACTCCACAGCATTCTCCTTATGTAACTACCTGTGTCCAAATCCCACGTTCTTATAAAGACACCAGGCATATAGGATTAGGGACCCACCTCACTCCAGTATGACCTCATTTCAATAAACTAGTTACCTCTGCAAGAGCCTTATTTTCAATAAGGCCACATTCTGAGGTGCCAGGGGTTAGGACTTCAACATACGAATTTGAGGGGACATAATTCAACACGTATCAATGTGTTAATACTGTGCTTGTGTGTGTGTGTGTGTGTGTGTGTGTAACTGGATATTCCAATTCCAGTAGTCAAAGGCAGATCAGCAGAATCAGACTTTCCTCTCCCATACAACTAGAACAGTTTCATATAGTGGTTTATCCTTGGGTAAAAAAGTTGTTGTTTTTTAGCCTGTGTAGAAAAAAATAAACAAAAATATAGCTCACGTGTTTGTGATTTTCCTCTTCACCCTACTAAATTAGTCATGGCTTCTCTTCATTCCAACACAAAGATATTTATCCGTTGACCACTAAACGCATTCAAGTCCCCACAAAGAGGAGGCAAGTGTGGCTTTTAACACCATATAATTGACCCTTGAACCAGGTGGGGTAGTGAGAGGAACTGACCCTCCGCACAGTTGAAAACCCATGTATAACTTATGACTCTCCAAAAAATTAACTACTCATAGCATACTGGTTGACTGAAAGCCTTACTGATAACAGTTGAACGCATATTTTGTATATGTATTACATACCATATTATTACAATAAAGTAAGCTAGAGGAAAGAAAATGTTATGAAGAAAATCATAAGGAAGTTAAAATTAATGAGTTTCCCATTTATTAAGTGGAAGTGGATCACCATAAAGGTCTTCACCCTTGTCAGCTTCACACTGAGTAGACAGAGGGTTGGTCCTGCTGTCTCAGTAATGGCGGAGCCAGAAGCAAATTCACATATAGGTGGACCTATGCACTTCACCCTGTGTTGTTCAAGGGTCAACTGTACGATCAAGGTTATCCTTCTCTAAAATACATGGAGATGACATTTTATCAAGGCTTTTCTCATCTGTTCAATTCTCACCTTCTCAGCATGAAAACAGAATACCCAACAGGTGATCCTCATGACCCCTCAGAGAGGTTCCCCCAAGCAGTCATTATTCAAATATTTTCATTTTAAGTAGGTTGAACATTATCCTTGTCCCCCAGGTGAATTTTATCTCATTATTAGGTAATTCTATGTATTTCATATGTTCATAATCTATCTTGAGCTTTAAAAGAGATTTGTTGCATATTATTCACAGCTATGAAGGTTCATAATTTTGGGGCCACTTCTACAGCCATTTCATAAAATTTATTTGTGAAATATAGAAAAAACTATGCAATAATCAAATCCAGTTATTTTTTCTTTTACATTTATTTAAAATGATCAAAAATGGTTTATGACAGTTTTAGAAAATGGAATGGATTAAAGGCTAAAAATGTTTAGATTCCATTTAAGTAGGTATGTGTGTGTATATACAACTAAAAACACAGAGGCTTTTTCACAAGAATTTAATTAAGCTTACGCTGAAACTCTTATAGAGAAAATAGTAATTGAGCATCAGACATCACCACTCCTGAAAACACCTTCTACAAGAATTGAAAAGTGTTGCAGGACCTAATACTGAAATAGGAAATACGGACTATCTTCAAATTGCACAAAGGATGCATGAATCCACAATCTGAGACCCACAGCTCTGAGATCCCTAACGTGAATGATTAAAGATATTTTACAAATTGGGGAGCTCTTTCAAGGGCTTTCCACTTTCAACCTTCTTTCTTTGAAGACCCCAGTTCATATTGGTGAGCATAAAACATGTATACTGGGAATTTTTATGGGTCCCGTATATACATTCCAGACTCTACATGAATGTCTCAATCTTTGGTTCTGATATTTATGGCAAAGTCTAAATGTTACATGAACATTAACTTTAGTTTCCTCAAACTATACCAATATGCCCAAACCATCCTTTTTTCTCTCCCCACAAGTATTTCTAAAAAAGAAGCAAAAAGCTAGTATACTTCTTGGATGCCTAAGGATTTAAGATTTCCTACTCTGGTGAATAGAAAAAGTATAAACCAAGGAATGCAATGTTGTTGCCTTAGGAACCAGTACTTACAGAGTATCAAAGACTACAAATACTACAAAAGGACTCAACACCTGATAATCACCATTTCTGTCTCCTATCTGCCAAAACATATCAAAACCATGTGATTTTCTAGGAAAAAGTATCCCAAGATTTCCCCCAGATGGTTTTAACATCAGTCGCTTTGCACTTAGCATTTCAAAATGCAGCCTTATTTTCTTCAGGTAATAATAATTTTATGTGCAGATACATCAAAGCTGAAAGGATGCTCAAACCCTGCTTGTGGGTGTCAGAAATAATGCATCCCCACTTCATTCGCAATAATGAATGCTCAATGATTTTTTATAACACTGAAGAATTTAGCACAGGCCCAGCATCTTTGGAAACTCAACGATATTCTCCATCTCCCAGAAGCTGATAGCATCCCCTCCCCACCAAGATACTCTGCCTCCCTACTGCTCACTGCTTTGTGCCATCAACATGGTTAAGCATGTGTGTGTTATTGCACCATGAGGTAGCTGAAGATCTCAGAACAGAGAGCCACAGTCTCTTTGTGCAAATGAATGGCCAAACCAACAGATCAAGCAATCCTTTTTTAGAATGCAGGGTCTAGCTGCCTAATTTATCTCTATAACCACATCACATCCAATGAGTTGGGAATGCTTAGTGAGGCAGCTCACGTACTTCACACAGAAGAAAACACACTTTAGGTCATCAAATTGTGTCAAGAATAAAAGGAAATTTCCACAACAGTGATAAACAGGGTTCTTGTTTTAGTTGTTTTTCTCAAAGTAATCAGGGGATCTCAACGTCTTCAGACATTTTCTGGTTCTGAAAGGCAGATTGGAAACAAATGTGATTGTGGGGGGAAAAAAAGTCTATTAAACAAAGAAAAAGAAAACCAAGATCCAATTCTATGCTGTTACAGAGACTCTTGCTCTAGATTCAGCAGAAGGAAGATTAGAACAGAAAAAAAATGAAGCAGAAACGAAGTTGCACATCTTAGATATATACAATATTTGTCTATTATACTTTAATAAAGCTAGAAGAATGAAAAATCTACTTCAAAAAAAGAAAACCAAGATCCAACTATGTGCTGTCTACATGACACTTGCTTTACATTCAGCAGAAGGAAATAGATTAGAACAAATAAATGATGCAGCAATGAAGTTGTACATCTTAAATATATACAACGTTTATTTGTCAACTGTACCTTAATAAAGCTGGAAAAATTAAAAATAGAAAATATTTTAAAACTGTTAAAATCATATCTGGAAACAAATATTAGTTTTCTAAACATTGTTTTTTACATTTTGCCACTTGTTAAGGATTTTGATGATCTTAAATGAATTGAGTAACTTTCTTTTTGGTTAAAACTAATATTTGTAGGAATTTCTTTTTTTTAATATGGCCTTCTTGGTCTTTATAACTTCTGAAGTGGTGTTGTCATTTGCTCCACTTTACAAAATAAAAGCAAAGTACGATTCTTAAAAGTCCACATCAAGTGACAGACATCTGCTGCTATCTATGTAGCTCCGTTACTACAACTCTTTCTCTATAAAGTATGCAAGCTTCAGTGTATGGCCTCAGCATGTATACAGTTCCACAGGTTGTGCACTGCACCACATCACCATGGATATGGTTAGTATACCATGCACATCATCCTTTAGGAGAGAGAGAAAATTATTGGCCCAACTAAGGATAGGTGGACAGCTGGGTACCATTAGCAGCAGCCTGGAACCCTAGAGTCAAGTTCACAGAGGTCTGAGCCCCATTTGATACCAAACCCCTACATAGTGCTGTCATACACATATTTCCTAGATAGTATAAAGGTTTTACAGCCAGCAAGATGATATGGGCCCAGGATCCACATAAATGTCACTGCTCACCTTGAAGAGATCTCCCTAACATCATCGCACTCTGTCTACATCCTCCTTTCTGATCTCAGGAACTTTAAGGGAAGGGAAGATAAACTTGGTGCTTGGGAATACCTGGTGAGGGTATCACTGAAGTACAATGGAGAAAGTAGACAAAATACTTACCAGGTAGCCAAAAGGCATGAAAGAGCTTCAAGACACTACACCCCTTTAGCAAAAACATGCTGCCACCTCAGATAAATGGGGCAGGCATCATCCACGTTTTTAAAACTACACCTATTTCAGAAACTCAGCTGGCCCCCAGTCCAATGATTTTCCTTTAAAAATATTGCACTAAAATATGTTTGCCTTGATTATTGAGTTTGTGGATGTCCCCTGTTCCCTGCCTTTACATTTTGTGCTTGTGGAGACGGGTGCCTCTCTCTGCTCACTCAGTTTCAGCCCTTGGTTAACAGAGGCTTACAAATCACTGCCACAAATACTACTGAAATTAACACGTGGTGTCTCATTAATGATGGCTGCCATGTTGGTGAAAGAGTGTTGTCACTGAACCCAAGAATCTGCTGTCAGGTTGCCAGGGAAATAAGACTGTTTTTCAGAAACTCAGTTTCCTCCCAAAATTTCAGGACAGGGTGTAATGTAGACGGAGGCTGACCCCCGAGGTTCATTAGCTAATGGTTGATACTGCCCATTTACCAGCAGAGGGAGCGCAGGGGAAGGTTTTAGGATTTTTGAGGCCAAATGCAAATCCTAAAGCAAACACCGTAGGAATGGGCATCCCTTTCTGGTTTCCTTTAGGGACACAAAAAAGGTATGATTTAGAGGGCCCTGGGCAAACTTCAGACAGATTCTGATGTGGGTGGCCTGAGGTTTAAACCAAACCTCCAGAGACCCCCAGTTAAAGATCTGTGTCACTCTTTTGTCTACAAAACAATCCCTGACTGTTGTTTCAGAGATTTCTTTAGGGCATCCTCTGCTCTCAAATCCCCAGTGATTCTTCAAACCCAAGAAGCCACAGCAGATCTTTCTTTTCCCCTATGGTCTGAGCACAGCTTTGGAATTCCATCAAGAGGCTTAAAATTTAGTGATTCGGTAGTTTTCTTTGCGGGTTGGGTTCTGTGGAAAACATTCACATTCAACCCAGATATTTTTCCTGACTCACCTGTGACGAAAATGTCACTGAATACAAAACAGAACAGAACTGTATTTGGCTAGTTAAATCAACCGCCATGCTTATAGTCTTGTAATGTAGCTTAGTAATTTTTTTGGTTTGTTTCTTTTTCTTTCCTTTCTTTCTCCCCCTCTTTTACATCAGGCAGATAATGTGCCAGTGTCATTGTAACCAGGTTTAGGGGAAGGTACAGCTTACACCTGACCAGGAAAACCCAATCGGTGGCCAGGCGCGGTGGCTCATGCCTGTAATCCCAGAACTTTGGGAGGCCAAGGCGGGCAGATCACTTGAGGTCAGGAGTTCAAGAACAGCCTGGCCAACATGATGAAACCCCATCTCTACTAAACATACAAAAAGTAGCCAGGCGTGGTGGTGCCCGCCTGTAGTCCCAGCTCTTCAGGAGGTTGAGGCAAGAGAATCTCTTGAACCCGGGAGGCGGAGGTTGCAATGAGCCGAGATCGTGCCACTGCACTCCAGCCGCGGCAACAGAGTGAAACTCTGTCTCAAAAAAAATAAAAATAAATGTTAAAAAATCACATGATTAGGCAAGTTTTGTATATTGAACTTAACCAGAAATAACCTTGCTAGTGACAGACATCTGAAAGTAATTTTTTTTTTTTTAAATCAGGCTTAGTAACAAGGAAAATAATGTTCAGAGCCAAACTTACCACGGGTCCTCAAACAATTTCTCCCGTTGTTTAGTTTGAAATAACTGGCTGCTGCTCCCAGCAGTGTCACCACCACCACAGATACGATGGGAGACACGATTTTTGCTACCATATTGCCTGCAGGAGTGGAGAAAAAGCAAAGCGCATCTGAGAAAAACACGGCTGTAGGAAAACTGCTTAAATATTAGGTTGGTCCAAAAGTTATTGCCGTTTTTGCCATTGAAAGTAATGACAAAAACTGCAATAACTTTTGCACCTATCTAATAACTTCTCCATCACATCCCTTCCCATCCTTGTACTCACAGAAAAAAAAAAGAGAAAGTTAATTAAAAAACAAAAACGAAAAAAAAAACACCTTAGGAAGTAATTTTGTTTTCACAAAGAGCCAAGCTTGTCAACCACATTTTACCACTGGAATCATCCAAGGCCAGGATTTGCACAGACGAGGCCCTTGGCATTTTTGTTTGTTTGTTGAAGTCAATTCGTGTATGCCTTTTAATTAATTTTATTAATATTTTTTCTTATTATTTTTGAGATGGAATCTTGCTCTGTCGCCCAGTCTGGAATACAGTGGTGTGATCTCGGCTCACTGCAACCTCCTCCTCCTGGGTTCAAGTGATTCTCCTGCCTCAGCCTCCAAAGTAGCTGGCACTACAGGCCATGCCATCACGCCCAGCTACTTTTTATATTTTTAGTAGAGACAGGGTTTCACCATGCTGGCCAGGCTGGTCTCGAACTCCTGACCTCAGGTGATCCACTTGCCTCAGCCTCCCAGAGTGTGTGGATTACAGAGGCGAGCCACCGTGCCTGGCCTGATTTATTTTTTTAGAGATGGGGTGTCACTATGTTGCCTAAGCTGGTCTTGAACTCCTGGGCTCAAGCGATCCTCCTGCCTCAGCCTCCTGAGTAGTTGGGATGACAGGCACATGTCAAAACTATTTTGTGCCTTTTTAGATGTAGAACGCTCACTCATGCAAAAATATTGTTCAACGAAAAATTGCCAGATAGGCCTGCTTTCAAAGGCATGCTGGAACTCTAGACCCAAGCACGCACTACACAGATGCATCTTCAGTGCCTCGATGGCAAATGACCCCAGAGCTTTGGTACTCCTGCACAAAGAACAAGAAGAAGGAGCTTGATGTGGCAAAAATCAACACTTCCAAAGGGAAAAAGGAAGACATCACCATTTCCATTTGAAATAGCCACCCTTTCCAGGCATGCCTTTCTTCAGACTGGGTTGAACAGCTGGGCCAATACGTGGCATGGCATAGGTGAGGGACACAAGGCTGCTCCATGAATGAGGCTGCCATGTTGGGGGGAAGAGTGTTGTCACTGAACGCACGAACCTGCTCCAGGGCTGATGCTGCCGCCGGCTGTACCCTGCCCCCTGGGAGAGACAGCTCTCTATTCCTCCCCTCCCTATGTGCACACACTCCACAGTACGATTTCACAGTGTTCCCCATCCAGAGGTGGAGCTGCATCTTCATTCTGAGAATCCAGGCTTAGCCAACAGAATGCCACACAAGTGAAGAGGTGGTGCTGTAAGCCCAGGCACGCTTCTCTTCATGCTCTTGGTACCCTGCCTGGTCACCATGTGATGAAGCCTGGCCTGGCTTCCTGGAGGGATGTGACAGCCCACATGAAGCTGAGATGAGCCATTCCACCTAAGGCCCCAGATATATAAGAAGACGCAGGAAACGTGGTCAAAGCGCTGGCCACACCTACAGCTGACTGCACACAAGAGAGGGAGTTCAGAAGAGACCAGGAGGACCACTAGAATGGTCTCAGCCCAAATTGCTGACTCACATAATCATGAACATAATACATGCTTGTTATTTCCAGCCACTAAGTTTTGGGGTCTTTTGTGACACAGCATAGCTGACTGATACGTACCTTTTCCTCTCTCCCATCTCTTACAAATCAATCAAGTACAATCAATTGTTATTAAAAAGTGGTCATCCAAGCTGACTGCTTCTCTTTGCCTCCCTTGCCAAGGCTTTAATTCAGCCTGCCATCATTTCCAAGGGGTACTGAACTGGTCTGAAAGGGGGTCTCCCTGGGCCTTAGTGAGCCCCCTCAGGTCCATTCTTCACCCACACATCAACAGGGGCAGGCTCTTTCCCATGAAGGTTCTATGAAGTGCAGACTCCACCTCTGCTAACCTGGTGGTCTTTCCTGGTCACCATTGCATCCTTCCCTGGTTCCTGTTGCATTCCACACCCTGGCTACACAATTTCTGGTGTCCCCACGTGTGTATCCAGCTCTACCTAGTACACTATCTTCCCTGACACCTCACTCTTCTCCTGGGCACCTCTCACCCATATTTTGGGGGACTGGCTTGGATATTGTTCTCTCCAGGAAGCCCTACCTCCCTCACCTAACCCAGTCTAGGAGTATCCCTTCTGCCTTGCTACAGGATCCCATATGTTCCAGCAAATTATTCATCAGATCTGACTGCAATTACTTGTTTATTTGCCTTGCCTTTTCCATCTCTGGACCTCACTTTACACCATAGAGAGAAAAAGGAGAATCAATAAATTTTTCTAAGGATGCCAACATACCCCAAAAATATTGATACTAGTACTCTGCATGTTCATTGAAAGGCAGAGGTCAGCTTCAATCACTTTCTCCTCCCCCATCATTGAAAACTCACAAGAGCCTTGGGGTTGAGCGCGTTTACTCTCAACTTAAACTCAAGCAGGCGTCAGCCCAAATCTCCAAGAGTATGACTCTTAGGGAATGGGGAACCTGTTCTCCCAGCAACACAGGACACAAAGTCAGCCTTCTGGGCTTCAAGTTCTCCCTCCTTTGACCTGAGATGGGATTGACAGTGCACTCTGATGGCTTCTTTGGGCAGAGTGTTCATAGCTTCCTTTCTTCTGTCCTTCTTGGGTTTCAAGTTAGTGCTGGTCAAAGAAAGGGGAGTAATGGCGGTACTGGGAGAAGTGCAGTGGTCTCAGCACTCATTCACAGCCTTACTCTGAGAGCTAAGGGGCATCTTCTGCAGCGAAAACCAATGCTTGCCTCTCCTTTCTCTCAACTCTGATTGGTCCTGTGCTGAAGGTCAGATATTGTTGTTCAGAAGCTACTTTATATACCAAAAAAGTGTGAGTGCTCCATGAAAGTCGTGAGGTTGGGAAATAGAAGCTCCTCCCAAACAGCTCCTCCCAGCACTGATTTAGGAGAGTGTGCTCTTATTAAAGGTTGGGACAAGGTGAGTCAATCAGTTACCTTCTGGATTGCCATACGTCGAATGGTGATCTCCACCTGTAAGCGGAAAAGGACGTTCGTGTTTATTCAGCAGAGCTTACGGAGTGCCTTCTATTGCTGGGCACTGTCGAGGATGCGACTGTGAACACACACACAGATCCCTGTTTTCAGGGAATTTACATTCTTGACGGGGGAGGGGGACAGCCAAGCAGTATAAGGAGCACAAGGAGGAGGAATGTGAATGTGTATGCCATGTCTAATGGTCATTAGCGGAATGGGGATAATACCAGGGAGCGGGAGATGCAGCCTTAATTTCGGCATTGGGGAGTCTACATATGTGCGCATGCAAAACACACACAGGCTGACAACTCCATGGAGACACATGCACACACACACATGCCATTCATACACACGTGCCATTCATACACACGTGCCATTCATACACACTGACATGCACAAATGTGTGTGCACATGCATACACACATGCAGCATGCAACAAACGTGCAACACACAGGCAGACAAGCACGCATACACATGTGCATGCACACACGCATTTACACACATGTGCAACACGTAAATACAAACGCAACACAAAGCACACGTGCACATCCTACACATCTCCACATACACACACATGCACATACCACACATACAGGCAACAAAAGCACATATAAAGCACAATTCGCCTAAACATACACATGCACACATGTGTGCACATGTTAACACATGTATGCATAAACACGTGCATGTACACACAAATATGCACAAACACATTCATGTGTGTATGTGCATGCCTGTACACACGCATGTATATGCACAATCCACATGCACAGATACACATGATATATTCGTGCAGTATGCACATGCACCACACGAGCACACCCAGATGCACACTCCTGCATCTATCCACGTGCACACATGCGCTTGCACACCCTAAATGTATGCATGTGAATGGATACACACGGGAAACATGCAATGCATATGCAACCCAAGCACAAACATGCACACATGCAAAATGCACAAGCACATGCCAACACATCTGTGCACATACACAAACATGCATGCGCTCAAACAATCCACATGTGTGCACACCGACACTTGCACATGTGCACATGAAATCCACATGCACTTATGAGCATGATTACAAAATCCACATGCACATGTGCACATGCATGCGCACACAATACACACAAGCATACCTGTGTGTGAACACATGCATACACACACATGTGCACACACATGCACCCAGTAC